CCGATCTGGCTAAATCCATGCTAGCGCTTTTTTACCTAACAGCGAAGACTGATAGGTTTCTATTAGTGTCAAAAGAGAGCATCTTGACTCCCCAGGGGGGTCTGGGCGGGTGCCGGGGAGAAGCCGCGGAAGTTGTTTTAAGCAAACAGTTACACACTTCGTGGTCTTCGAGGTCCCACAACTCTATTCCTGGGCATGATTTTGAATGCCCGGAGCCAACCGTAGGCCACTTCGTGGTCTTCGAATTCCCAGAACTCCATTCCCGGGCCACATTCTGAATGCCCGGAGCCAACTGTAGGCCACTTCGTGCTCTTCGAGTTCCCAGAACTCCATTCCCGGGCCACATTTTGAATGCCCAGAGCCAACTGTAGGCCACTTCGTGGTCTTCGAGTTCCCAAAACTCCAGTCCTGGGCATGATATTTGAATACCCGGAGCCAACTGTAGGCCACTGTAGTTCTTCGAGTTCCCAGAACTCCATTCCCGGGCCACATTTTGAATGCTGATGGAGGCTGAGCTGATGCTGCAGGCGAGGCTGAGGCAGGCTGAAGGCTGAGGCCAGGCTGAAGAGACTGAGGCTGAGGCTGAAGGCAGGCTGATGCTGAGGCTGAGGCAGGCTGAGGCTGAGGCAGAGGCAGGCTGATGCTGAGGCAGGCTGAGGCTGAGGCTGACTGATTGCAGGGTGAGGCTGAAGGCAGACTGAAGCTGAGGACGAGGCTGTAGGCAGACTGAGGCTGAGGCTGAAGCAGCTGAGGCTGAGGCTGAGGCAGGCTGAGGCTGAGGCTGAGGCAGGCTGATGCTGAGGCAGGCTGAGGCTGAGGCTGAGGCTGATGCAGGCTGAGGCTGAGGCAGGCTGAGGCTGAGGCCGAGGCTGAAGGCAGACTGAGGCTGATGCTGAAGCAGGCTGAGGCTGAGGCTGAGGCAGGCTGAGGCTGAGGCTGAGGCAGGCTGATGCTGAGGCAGGCTGAGGCTGAGGCTGAGGCTGATGCAGGCTGAGGCTGAGGCAGGCTGAGGCTGAGGCCGAGGCTGAAGGCAGACTGCGGCTGAGGCTGAAGCAGGCTGAGGCTGAGGCTGAGGCAGGCTGAGGCTGAGGCTGATGCAGGCTGAGGCTGAGGCAGGCTGAGGCTGAGGCTGATGCAGGCTGAGGCTGAGGCAGGCTGAGGCTGAGGCCGAGGCTGAAGGCCGACTGAGGCTGAGGCTGAAGCAGGCTGAGGCTGAGGCTGAGGCAGGCTGAGGCTGAGGCAGGCTGAGGCTGAGGCTGAGGCAGGCTGATGCTGAGGCAGGCTGAGGCTGAGGCTGAGGCTGATGCGGGCTGAGGCTGAGGCAGGCTGAGGCTGAGGCCGAGGCTGAAGGCAGACTGAGGCTGAGGCTGAAGCAGGCTGAGGCTGAGGCCGAGGCAGGCTGATGCTGAGGCTGAGGCAGGCTGATGCTGAGGAAAAGGTTGAGGCAGAGGCTGAGGCAGGCTGAGGCTGAGGCTGAGGCAGGCTGAGGCTGAGGCAGGCTGAGGCTGAGGCCGAGGCTGAAGGCAGACTGAGGCTGAGGCAGAAGCAGGCTGAGGCTGAGGCAGAGGCAGGCTGAGGCTGAGGCAGGCTGATGCTGAGGCAGGCTGAGGCTGAGGCTGAGGCTGATGCAGGCTGAGGCTGAGGCAGGCTGAGGCTGAGGCCGAGGCTGAAGGCAGACTGAGGCGGAGGCTGAAGCAGGCTGAGGCTGAGGCTGAGGCAGGCTGAGGCTGAGGCTGAGGCAGGCTGAGGCTGAGGCAGGCTGATGCTGAGGCAGGCTGAGGCTGAGGCTGAGGCTGATGCAGGCTGAGGCTGAGGCAGGCTGAGGCTGAGGCTGAGGCCAAGGCTCAAGGCAGACTGAGGCTTTGGCTGAAGCAGGCTGAGGCTGAGGCTGAGGCTGAGGCTGAGGCAGGCTGGCTGAGGCTGAGGCTGAGGCAGGCTGATGCTGAGGCAGGCTGAGGCTGAGGCTGAGGCTGATGCAGGCTGAGGCTGAGGCAGCCAGAGGCTGAGGCCGAGGCTGAAGGCAGACTGAGGCTGAGGCTGAAGCAGGCTGAGGCTGAGGCTGAGGCAGGCTGAGGCTGAGGCAGGCTGAGGCTGAGGCTGAGGCAGGCTGAGGCTGAGGCTGTACTGCGACTGCCGTTGCCGCTGCGACTGTCATCGCGAATGCGACTACGACTGCGAGAACAGCAGAAATCTACAACTGGATTTCATCTGAATCTTTAAGTGGGAATGCTCCAGATATGCTCCTACACATCTCTGTTAGGTTGCTTAGCTGGATAATATTCCTCCTCCTCCTCAACTCCTCCTTCTCCACCTCTATCCATCACCTCTTCCTTCTTCCTCCTCCTCCTCCTCCTCCTCCTCCACCTCCTCCTCCGTCCTCCTCCACTTCCTCCTCCTCCTCCTCCTCCTCCTCTATCCTGCTCCTCCTCCTCCTGCTCCTCCTCCTCCTGCTCCTCCTCCTCCTCCTCCTCCTCCTCCTCCTCTTCCTCCCCCCTCCTCCCTCCCTTAGCGGGGGCACGAGGGCCAGGGCGTGGTGAGGCGCGGCGAGGGGGTGGGGGAGGGGCTGGGTGGGCGGCTGGCCAGCGTGGCGCAGGTACCGATGACGCAGGGCCCGCTCCCCACCCTAGAGGAAGGAGGAGGAGGCGGAGGAGGAGCAGGAGGAGGAGGAGGAGGAAGAGGAGCAGGAGGAGGAGGAGGAGCAGGAGGAGGAGGAGGAGGAGGAGGAGGAGGAGGAGGAGTGCCCCCTCGTGCCCTTTTTTGCTTGGGCCGCCCCGCCCGCCCCACGCCCCCGCTCCCCCGCTCCCCCCCCTGGCATTCTCTGGGCCCTCGTCCTCCCAATTCCCTCCGTGCCTCCCTCCCTCCCTACGCCCCTGCTCCCCCTCCGGCCTGCTGGCCGGCCGTCCTTCCCTCCCGCGCCCTCTCCCTCTTCCTTGCCCTTGCCCTCTCCCCTCCCCTCCCCCCCCCCCTCGCCCCCTGCAGCCAGGCGGGGTGTCCGCGCGCCGCCGCGCTCGGGCGAGGGCGCCCGAGTTCGAGGGCCCTCCGCGCCTCTCCTCGTCGACGACCTGGACGTAGGTGGCCGTGATCTCATCGCCGGAGCCGTCCAGGGAGAGGTCGAGAACGTTGCCATTCTGACCCGGTCGAAAGTCCTCCAAAAATCTGATCTCCTGGCGGCGGTGGGCTCCGTCTGGCCCCGGTCTGGGCCGCGGAGGCTCGACGATCGGCTGAGCATGGAAAGAAGGGTGCTCGCAAAGCCTGCGAGACGTGTGCGAAGCCGAGCGGAACGCATGGCGCTCCTGCAGCAGAAAAAGTGCGACGTGCATGCGTATTTGAAAAATACCCGACATATTATCCTGGCGAAGAGCCCAGCCATATGCAGTTGTGAGTACCGTGTTGTGGCACCGCTTGAGGTGGAACTCCCTATGGGGTCATGAATCGTGTGAGTGGTGCGCTTCATGGGGCGGCGCCGCCATGCGAACCCTGCCACTGGGGCCTTCGGTGGAGCTCCCCATGGGGCCACGAACCGTGTGAATGGTACGCTAAAATTGGGTGGCGCCGCCATGCGAGCTTTGCCATTGGGGCCTTCGGTGAAATTACCCATAGGGTCACGAACCGTGTAAGGGCTGCGCCAGAACGGGGCGGCGCCGCCAAGCGAACTTTTCCACTGGGGCCTTCGGTGGAGCTCCCCATGGGGCCACGAACCGTGTGAAGGGTACGCTAAAATTGGGTGGCGCCGCCATGCGAGCTTTGCCATTGGGGCCTTCGGTGAAGTTCCCCATAGGGTCACGAACCGTGTAAGGGCTGCGCCAGAACGGGGCGGCGCCGCCAGGCGAACTTTTCCACTGGGGCCTTCGGTCGACTTCCCATGGGGCCATGAACAGATTCAAGGGTGCGCCAAAATGGGGCGGCGCCGCCATGCGAACTTTGCCACTGGGGCCTTCGGTGGAGCTCCCTATGGGGCCACGAGCCGTGTGAAGGATGCACAGAAAAAAAACACGCCGAAGATCAGGGCACGACTGTGAGGAGGGAGGTCGATGGATCAGGAGGAGAAGGTGGAGAAGGAGGAGGCGGAGGAGGAGGATGGAGTGAGACGCAAGGCGCTACCCCAACACCACAGGATGGTGGGGAACAAATGTCAGCCGGCGTAGACCTCGAGCGGCGAGTTGTTGCACTGTGGAAGCGAAGACTATGCGGAGCAAGCAAACTGTTGTAAGCTATGTTGTGTATGCTGCGTGGTGTGAAAAATCCACCGACCCCCTTTGTCGGGGATGAAAAGGCACGTGAGACAGTTGGCTGTACCCCTCCCCCTGTCCCCCTTCTAAGACTGCCCCACGAGGTCAGCCGAAAAGGCCCCGCGAAGCGAAAATCGCTCCATTCCCTCCGGAAGCGCACATGTGACTGACTGTCCGCATTTTCTCACGAGCGCAGCAAATTTGTTTTGAGAAACGTGGAGGAGAAGCGGGGCACAACGGTGCAACTGGGCGCTTGATTCCACGCATACCGAGCTCACGCACGATCTCCAAAACAGATGTCATGATCTTGTTACCGTTCAGGAGGAGACTTGCCAGATCACGGTCACTGAACATGGAACGTTCAGCAGCTCCCTCGGGTTTTCGGGGTGTTCGGATGACACATGTACGTTTCCTTCCAGCACTGACGCTGGTACACGGCGCGGCCAGGCAGGCGGACACAATGTAAGTAGTTTGTCGCAGTAGCCGCCATCAGACCAATGGTTCTGTGAGGTCGAGGCTCGGGTTGGCGTTTGCATCGTAGCGCCGAGCTGGCACTCCAGAGCGGGTTGCTGCGCGGCCCGCTGCTGCACAACCGCTGGTGGTATCTGCGAAGAGCTGGCCTGCTTTCGGGCCTAGCGAGCGGGCGTGGGCACGGCGGCCGTATGGCCAAAGGAAACGCCCTCGAGGCATCTGTGAACTTGGCTGAAAGGGCCAAACTGCTTCGGCGCCACCTCGCTGGCCGACCTGTTCAGCGAGGTCGCATTCCCGTGGCGGCGGAGGACGGAATCTGAAACCCAGTCCTTCCGCTTTCTCACCTCGAAGATGTCCATAACCCTGCCGCGTCGATCGAGCCCTGTGCCACTGCGCCGTGCCGGGCAGATCATGGGCAGGGGCAGCTTAGTCCGGTACGTAAGGGCCCCGGAGCGCTGCCGGGTCACGCCGTAAGAGTGAGTGGTGCAAGGTCGGGCCCTCTGGGCCGCTCGTCGCCATGTCTGTCATGAGCCGCGGCAGCCAGAGGAAGATCTGACTTCTCAAGTCGATCACCTCGTTGCGGCGTCCTGTCCTTTCCACTTTGTCGTGGGTCTACACGAACCGAGCGTCTCCCAAGTCAGCGTCTTTTCTGGCGGCCGACTGCGCCAGATCCATCCCCCAGAGCGCGAGGGCCCCCGCAGGTTTGTGGCACGTCGCCGCCGCCCACAGGATCTGCAGCGCCAACTCCCAGAAGCCTCTGTCAGCCAAGTCACGCGCCACCGCGGCCCGTGTGTGGGTCACTAGGATGTGGCTTTCGAAGCCACTCGGGCGGCGCAAGCCCAGGAGGGCCCTCTAGGACCGCGGGCCCCCCCCCCCCAAAGGGCCCTAGACCCCGTCTTCGCAGTGGGCGGGGAAAAGTGCATCGTGTCCGCCGCGACCGTCTCTCCCCACTGCACATGTTTGCCCCCAGCGAACTCCTCGCGCGCACGGCCCACCAGGGCGGCGTCGACCACATCGTCCCCGACGCGCTGTCTTATGCTGTCTGGCACGTCTTATGCAGTCTTATGTCCTCCTCTTCCTCCTCCTCCTCCTTTTCCTCCTCCCCCTCCTCCTGTTTTATGCTGTCGGCCACGTCGTCCCCGACGCACTTTCTTCCCGGAACGTCCCTGGCGACCTTCTGGCGAGAGGCGGCGGTCTCAGGCCCGGGTCGAGGGGTCGCCGCGTCCGCCCCGGGCCACCGGCGCCCGACAGGCGGGCCCCTAAAGGCGTCGGCCCGCGCCATCTGGAGCACCGCAACATCGAGGTCGCGCGGAAAAACAATACACGCCAGGCTAGAGCTAAGAGACTCTTACGCCAAGGAAATCAGCATCGCTCCAGGCGCTCTCTTGAATAGTAGCCCAGGTCCAGATATATGAGGGTTCACCTTGAGATCTTCCGACCCTTAACTGAATACTGTCGCGAATGAGTGTCGGATGGGTCTCACATTCTTCATACATGGTACAAATTCACACACCTGGTGCATCCCGATGGCGGTCTCAAGCGGTCTCAAACAGTCTCAAACGGTTTCAAAGTGCCACGAAACCATCGGCGCCGAGCACACCCGCGCCTCTCACACGGTCTCACAGCGTCACGAACCCCCCAGCGCCGAGCGCATGCGCGTGCTTCATGTAGTCTCAGAATGTTCCGAAGCCCTGCGCGCCGAACGCACCCGCGCGTTTCGCTAAAATTCAAAGTGCCATGAAACCCTCGGCGCCGCGCACACCCGTGCGTCTCACACGGTCTCACAACGACACGAAACCCTCGGCGCCGAGCGAATCCGTGCGTTCCACGCGGTTTCAGAATGCTCCGAAACCCTGCGCTCAGCGCATCCGCCCGTGTCACTAAGTCTCAAAATGCCGCGAACCCCCCAGCGCCGAGTACACCCGTGCGTCTCGCACGGTCTCGCAGCGCCACGAAACCCTCGGCGCCGAGCGCATCCGCGCGCTTCACATGGTCTCTGAGTGCCCCGAAACCTTCGGCGCTGAGCGCATCTACGCGTCTCGCGGGGTCTCACAGCGCCACAAAACCCTCGGTCCCGAATGCATCCGCGCGGCTCACAGGGTCTCAGTGCCGCGAAACTCTTGGCGCCGAGCGAATCCGCGCGTCTTGCGCGGTTTCGAAGTGCCACGAAACCCTTGGCAGCCTGGCATCACGAAGACAAACGCGCCGTGAACGGGGCTGGGGAAGGTCTGCGACTGGCCATACGACTTTCCCGTCAGAACATGTAATACAAAACACACACTGGGAACTAACACAGCGCGGTGGCCAGCGCGACGGCGAGAGCACCACTCCGACGTTAACGCGCAACCGCGCAGTAACGCAAGCACGCAATACAAGCAATCATGCGTATGCAGGAATTGGGACGCCGAGGGAGCACAGTACCACTGGAACCCTGATGACGACGCCGCAAAGAGTGCGGCAGCGATGCGAACGCGGGATGCACTCCCAATCAGTCACTCTCGGACTACGTAAGCCTGGGAAGTTGCCCACCGACATGGTGTTGGGACGCCGAGGGCAGGCAGCACCACTCGCACCCTAATGAAGACGCGGACTGTGGACAAAGGGACAAGGGTGTATCCCCATCCGGGCGGATCGCCAACGGGGGTTCCGGGGGAGGTCCCGCCTGTGGTGTGGGGGGGGGGTCCCAGGTCAGAATACCGCCCCCCCTGGGATCCCAGCAGGTCCTGGAGGGGGGGGCCAGCGGGAGGGGGGAGAGGTCAAGCCTTCGGGTCGGCGGCACTGGCCGCAAGGCCTTCACAATCATCGTCGCGTGTTTTGCAACGCCTGGGGCCCTCCTCCTCCTCCTCCTCCTCCTCCTCCTCCTGCTCCTCCTCCTCCTACCCTCCCCTCCTCCCCCCTTCCTCCCCTTCTCTTCTCCCCTTTCCTCCTCCTCACCCCTCCTCCTCCTCTCCTCGTCCTCCTCCTCCTCCTCCTCCTCCTCCATTCCTTTTCCTTCCAGATAGCTCCTCCCTGTCGCACCCCGAGGCCAGTTTTCAGGGCGGACCGGGAGTTTCGCATGAGACGTCCTCACCATCTATGTATGAATCTGAAGCTGTAAAAAGCGGCAGCAGTTTCACAGATGGAGGGCGGGTCGTTTTCAAAATGTCGCTCTCGCCTTAGCGCCGCGCACATTCGTTTTCAACATGTGCAAGGCCTTCACTGATTGAGGGCGGGTGGTTTTCAAAATGTGGTTCTCGCCTTACCGCCGCGCGCATTCGTTTTTAAACATGTGCAAGATTTTCACGGGTTGAGGGCGAGTGGTTTTCAACATGTGGCTCTCGCCTTAGCGCCGCGCGCATTCTTTTAAACAATTTGCACGAGCTTCACGGATTGAGGGCGGGTGGTTTTCAAAATGTGGCTCTCGCCTTCGCGCCGCGTACATTCGTTTTGAATATTTGCAAGAGCTTCACGGATTGAGGACGAGT